ATTAGAAGCAGTACCTCTGCAAAACACTGACAAGTAACAGTTATAAAGTTTACAAGGGAAATACAAAATGAAATTTAATAGAGCAAAAACATATTCAGTTTGTGTAATAGCTACGAACCAAATAAAATGATTTTTATAATCTTAAACTTTTACTTAGTTATGTATTATATCTCCTGTTTATTTTGAGAACATAGTAATCTTTTTTTTTTTTTTCATTTTTGTGGTGCTGGGGATTAATCTCAGGGCCTTCTGTATGTAAGGCAGGCACTCTACCAACTGAGCTGTATCCCCAGCCCATGATCACAGTAATCTTTACAACAAAAATCGATCTTTTGAATACCACTTTAAATGRTCCAAGTTTAGCCTATTTTTCAGTCATTTTAACACAGAGTAAAGTGAGAGGCAGAGCCTTACCTCAGTAAGGTGGGGCTCTTSACAAATAACCCAGTACATTTCATTTGAAACATGAATCAAAGACTAAGAGAGCTTTAAACTTTCTTTTTATGGAAAAAGTGGTAAAATGTTTCCATGTTATACAATATCACCTTTAAACAGATCAGGTTCTCCTTATTATTTTTCAAAAATACATTTAAATTTCTATTCCAATGTAAAGAGTAACACAAAATTGTATTTATAACTCATTGATAACAGGTTACTTTATCCAGTCATAAAACATCAAATGACATGAATAAATACCAACCATGTTTGTTATTTCTACATAAATCTGAAGGAGGATTTTGCTACAGATAATTTTAGTTTTGAGAATGTGAACTTGATAAAGTACTCTCCTAAGCTTTACATTTAACTAAGTTTAACTTTTAAAGTACAGTTTGGAATGCACAGTGTAAATAACAATAGTCACAGGTCTGCATAGGTTAGCAGTATTAGCAAAAATAGCCTTAAATCTATTATATATTTAGGAAACAGTGTTAATGATCAGAAATAGATTTAGTCAAAGCAAACAGATATAAGATAGATCATTAGATGGCAGTGTGGTCTTTCTATGTCAGATCAAAAAGAATACTTATTGATTGATTACCTTGCCAGTAAACCTAGATCAACATTCATTTTATAAACTTTTACATAACACGTAGAAAAGGCTCAGACAGATATAGTTATCAGATTATATATATATATATATATTTGCCTATATTTAGGGTGTCAGTTATATTGTAACGTAAAATAAAAGTTGTTTATTTAACCAGTTATGAACTGATCATTTAAAAGACTTTAAAGTAGGTACAAATCCTAATTCTTTTTAGACTTAGTTTCTCTAAGTAATAAAACCTAATAGATACAAGAAAATTATCTTGATAGATAAGAGCAGATCAATGTTTCAGACTTTGCTTCGTATCACTACATTGAAATTTGAATACTTGACTGTGCTAATTATAGCCAACTTAATCCCATACTGAAACTTTTTGAGATGTTTTTCTTCCACAAACCATCTGCAACATACTTAGACATTTTACAATTTGTTTATAACCTTAGTTTTGTCCTTTCTTCTTGGACTTTAGCACAAGAATATTACTTTACCATGTAAAATACTTTATCATCCAGAAACATTTCCTTTGCTTTCTAATTTTCCATACTAAAATTTATTTCCATATCTATAACTTTATTTTCTTTTATCTTTTCTAGTTTCAGACCCTTTCTTAAATTCATATTCTGAAACAATCCTTATGAATTTTATCTGTGCATTTAATTTACACAACAAATTTCATCCCAGGAGAGGGATCAGAAAATCTGGCAKATACAAAAACTGTGTCTTAATCTGTTTTCTCCCAGGTTGCATTCCAGGGGTTGGAGCACAGGAGATATGTTTGAGCCTGRC